GTTTAATGCCTCTTTGTTCAATTTCTACCACAAGACTAGTTCTACTTCAGAATGTTGAAACTATATAAAAACACCAATTGCAAACATCTCATGTTTCACACACATAAACACACTCACCACAATAGAAGGATTAAAAGACTGAAATGACATACGTCCAACCAATGCTCCTGGCTGAGGATCCCAATCAGTAACGACCACACTGCAACGATCACAAACATCGAATAACTAACCATATATATCGACAAATAACGTCATTACAGATATAGAATTTTGTTCTCTGATCCATGAACAAAGCCAAACCAAATCGACTGAAAATTGACTTAAAAACACCAATCAATAGCCTAAAGGAACACACTTAAGAAAACATTGAAACATCGAAACACCGAGTAAAATCGAGACAGTACCACTTCTTCCTGACAGTACTGAGAGACGTTAAATTCTCATTAGGCTCTTCTTCATCATTCTTCTTTTTCTCATCTTTCATAACAGACCTTTGCATAAACTTACAGAGAAAAACATCATTGCACAATTAATAATGTATAGTCGAATTATGTTGAAGCTTAATACCTTAAGGTTTCTGAGAGTCCCACTAATTTCCCTCTTCGCCATTGTAGTCTCTCGAGGATTTAAGTTTGCTTCCGATTAGAGTTACCGCTAATCTCTCAATCCAAATTGTCTCCGGCTAAACTTTTTGAGTAGGAATTAGGGATTTAACGATCCAATTTTGAACCGGGGCAGATTTATATTAGTTTATGGGCTCATTGTTTTGAAATTTGTACCAATTTGGGCTTTAAACTCGGAGGTTTATTTAAGTGCATGTTCTATTTAAATGAATAGAGGTCAAAAGTCACTCTATCAGTCTATCCGATGAAGTAAAGTTTTTACTTTTTCATTTCCAAAATCGAATCCGGAGAAAAACAAGGTTAAAATCTTTCGAGATGACTCTGGTACAAAAGTTTTGGTATCAGAATGTCAACATTTCAGAACTGTTGCCGGAAGTATCCGATTTTGTTATGTGATGTGTAATATAGAGGTTCAGCCAAAAAATATTACTTTACGCACACAATTATTCGCATAAAAGCAAGATCGAATATGTAAGATGAAAATAATAGATTTAATAATATGTTAGCACATATACGGAAAACATCGTTAAATTCACTTCTTTCTTTTAATGTATCTTTCTTACTGTAATAATTTGTTTTGCACAAAAAAATGTTGTCTTTGGTTGTCACAAGCCGGTTGTTAAAGATATATCACCATCAAAATTTACAAGAGAGTTATCAGGTTAGATTCAGTTTCCTTCATTTTATTCCTCTTGATTCGGAAAAGAGCTGCTTTCAAATGGAACATCACAAAATGCATGGCACCTACATGTTTCAGCCTCACATTTTTATTCTCTAGCTAGTTGAAGAAAGATGAGATATCAAGAGATAAGAATATACGAAAATAAAATTCTCCCTTTCGTGTTGTGCGACTCACATTGGCCATGTTCGTTTACTAGTGCATTCTCTCAGTTTTCCTTCTTGTGCTATTTTTGTCAATTGCCCTTTTAACTAAATACAAATTGTAATGTTTTCGTGAAACTAAAATTTCTTATAGTTAAATGGACAATGATATGAATGTGAGTAGTGAGAACTGAGAAGTCTCCATTGGCCATGCCTTGTAAGAACTCACATGCTCACATGTGAATGTGAAATTGATCCAAAATGTTTTTTTTTTCTTTTTCTTAAAACATTAAATGTTTTTTCGGTATTTGTCTTTGGTCCCAAAATTTATTGTATCTTTATATATACATGTCTTCGATCCAACTAAAATATTGTTAGATGACCATTGACCACATTGTTCATATGGATCCTTCATATTTTCCCCTGTTTAGCATGTTCCTTTTCCATCTTGTCCTTGGACCATCTTAAAGAGAAGGAAAAAACATGTAGTGATGTGTCAAAAAGAGTAATCTCAATGTAAACAGAAATAATTGTATTTAATATCTTCAAATAACAATAGACAAAAGTTTTAGATGCTAATAATATCAATTGTAACAAATAGAGAATTTATGTTTAGTATACATTTGATCATTTTATTTTTAGTTTTAGAGGGATAGCAAAGTTGCCAAAGTTAATCGAATCTTCACATACATCATGTTACATTCATCACTAACCGACAGATTGCTAGGAAATATTTAAGACTCGCATGGACAGACACAGACAGTGAAGTAAAATTTATAGATGCGGTCAAAGTTATACGCTCGTTGACTGCCAATTAGTTTTATTGTACTAATTTTCTCTTCTTGTTGGAATCTTCTTAACAAAATTTATACGTAGATTAATCTCAATGATACTATCATCTATGCAAATATAAAACTACTTTCTAGATCTAGCCAATCCAGAAGATCTCATAAATGTTACTACACATAAAACTACTTTCTAGATCTAGCCAATCCAGAAGATCTCATAAATGTTACTACACACCCAATTATAAGATCACTACTAGTTCGCAAAAGATTTAGGTCATCAACGATGCCAAAAATGATATTGTAAAATGTGAATGCATATACATCAAAGTTCAAACTATATATAGGACGCAAAAAATTATATAGTAATTTAACCATAAGAAATATAAGAAAGAAAGATTCAAGTTAGTTTTCAACTTAATCTACAGGCTTAATTAACATAATGTGTATAATTTCTAAATTATATGCTAATGAATATAGTTCATTCACACCTCAATCAACAAAATCATTTAAACATGGATTTTCCTTAGATTTGATTCCCATGCAACCACATTTATGCAGCATCCATGCAAAGGATCTAGTCATGGTCATGTCGACCCTATTTTATATACATACATATATGATATATAATCGACACTTAAACCCATTTTTTTTATATAAACTATATCTCTCTCTCTCTCCACGCACAATATACATATATATATTATATAGACACATTTGGATCAATAGATCGAAGGAAGCACATTGTTGATTTATGGATGTTGAAAAGCTATGGAATCATACAAAGAAAGATTCCATCTTTCAAACTACTCATTTCTCTTCTTCTTCAAAACCTTTTTTCACAAGAAGCTTCTCCACAAAAACTTCATCTTCTCCTTCATCCAAATCCCATTTCACTAGAAGCTTCTCATCAAAACCTTCGTCGTCTTCTTGTTCTTCCGAACCCATATTCAGACGGAGTTTATCCGCAAGGCCTAAAGCTTCGAAGTCTTTGCTTTTGTCTAGAAGCAGTTCCACGAAATCCTCAGCTGATTTCTCCTCCAAGTCTTCTCTCTCTAGAAGCTTGTCTCAAAAAGGAGCTTCAGTGACGCGAAAATGCTTCAAAGAGGCGAAGGAGCAAAAATCCCGCTTCTACATAATCAAACGCTGCGTATTTATGCTCGTTTGCTGGCACAAACATTCTTGAGATTCATTGCATTGGATCCAAATATAGAAGAGAATCTTTGTGGAAGCAAAAACAATTATTAAATAAACATCTTGCTCTCCAGGATATCTCCAATATTTTGCAAGTTAATCGCAATGCTCTCATTTTATCTACTTGTCTTATGCATCATGCATGAGTCACATATAAAACTTTTAGGTTCGCGTATTCAACATTCAAAGAACACATTAAGAATGTGCCTCAGATGGTTTCGGAAATGATGGTTTTTACATCGTTTCAAAATGTGTGTGTGATGCGTATCATCACTTCCCGATCATTCGAAATACAAAACCAAAAACACAATAAAGATAAAATAACTATTATAACCATCATTCAACTTTTATTCTACACCAACTGTCTTTACATTACCGGCATTTACATTGTTCGTGCTGATTCTTTAGAACTACTAAACCAGACTTGTTCTGTTTTGCATATGTGAGAGTTTTGTTACATGTTTCATGTTTGTGTGTCCGTAGTGAAATAAATGTTTTAATTTTGTTTAAACTATTGGACCGCATGTAGCAAAGTTACTTTGGCTAATGGAGGAAAAAACACTTTACTCAAAAAGTAAATACGATAAGTGGTCCGGCCATTTCTAGCTCCTCCATTACTCCATTCAAGCATCTAGTCTCTTTGGTTAGACATTTACAATGACAGTTAGAAAATATCTGACACAAACTTGGTGACTTTTATTAGTTCCGTCCAACAATTTATCGACTTTTTGGGACCACCCACCCATAGAGTAGAGGAGAACCTTGGCTTTCACCATTAAGAAACATTGTATTTGTCATAAAAGAAATAAAGATATTAAGACCGTGTCTATAAAGTCTATCCATTCGATTATTTTGTCAAATTAAATGTAAGAATAATTCATATCATCAGCTGATGATGTAAGTAGTGACGAATGCAAAACTAATTGCCAACTATATATCCTAATTTTATAAAAAAAATTCTGAAGAAATCTACGTATCCACGTAACTCAATTTAGCTTTCCTGATATTCCAAACGAAATGATATTTGTAAAGTGATCTCATGATCAATCACAATGATCATCACCCGATTTGGTCAAAAATGAATCTACACACCCAAATTGAATTTGGTAAACTTTGAAAGAACGTTCAATTTCACAACCTCTCTCTCTCTTCATTTATTCGTGTCTTCAAGGTTCAAATGGTTGTTGCGGTTGGGGCGGACAAATCCGTTTGCGGATTATACCGCTTTTATTTACCATTCATAAATTATCGTTCGTAGTAGTGCAGATCGAAAAAAATATAAAAATCCACCGCATACCAACTACGGACCGTTTTTACATAAAATAAACTTGGTATACGTGACGATTTGTTGTCCGCCCCAAAAATATAGTGTTTTAGTCCACGTTACCCACACCATCCATTCAAAACCTCATTTCTCACAAATAAACACATCCTTTCACTTTCTCAAAATCCAATAAAAATGTTTTTAAGAATAATGAATTTGACATTTTGGTTTCCAATAAATTTGATGTAACAAAGAGGTTCCAAATAGTTTCATCTGAATAAATATATACACATTGTTGAATCAACAAACAAAAAAATCTCAAACTTTTTATCACCTAACCTGATTCTCCAGTTTCCATCAGAAAAATCTTCTGATCAACGAAGTCGATCGATTCATAACTCTAGTTTCACCATCACTATCCAAATCAATAAGATTCGAATTCGAAGAGCCACGATTTGGTCTCACTCTTCTCATAAACGAAACCATTCCACGAACAGCTCTTCTCAATCTACCTCCATTACCAGAACGACCACCATTCCTACTCATCTCCGGTGTCTCATGAGCTCTAACCCAAGAAATCCTTCTCGGTCCTTCATTACTACCAAGTCCACCACCATCCATCTCCGTCAAAACCACCGGTAAAATCCTCTCTCCTTCTCTCACCCCCGCGTTAAACCTCCCAACAGCGAATCCACCACCAGGTAATCTCCAAATCGTCATCCCAACAGCATGTTCTTCTTCATTACTCCGTTGAATTGGATCTGAAGGTAATTCAAATCTACACACAGGACATGAATTACGAATCGAAAGCCATGGAACAATACAATCGCCGTGAAATATATGTTTACACGGCATCTCACGACCTTCGATTCCGGCTTCGAAAACCTCCGTACACACGGCGCAATTAGCTTCTGCTTTCATGTGACAATCGGAGATTTCGACTCTAGGTAATGATTCAATCGCTGATTTCGACGCCGGTGGATTCCCAGATCTACCGATTCCATTACCTGACGCTTCGATCTGACTCAATTGTTCAAGTAATCGTTCAAATCCAGATCCCATTAAGATCTCAGATACAGAATCAGGAAGAGGTCTTAGACCTGAACCAGATCCATCATCGTAATAAAACTCATAAGCTCGTCGTTCTCTAGTAGCTCCGTCACCTTCTTCGTTCTCAACTCTCTCACCGTTCCCTCCTCCTCCGTGTAAGACAATTACCGGATTAAACGATGTACGACGACCAGATCTCCGCCGTCTAATTACAGATCTATGAATATCTTCAACCGATCTAACTTCCGGAGCCGTAACCGGAATAGCCGCGGCGGGAGAATTAGAAGAATCTTCAATCTCTTCGATGAAACCTCCGTTGCAATAAGGACATAAGACTCCTGCGTTTGCGTCTTGGTCATCCCAAACGCTGATGAATCGTGTACAACTGTAACACCAATACGACGTCGTCGGAGTCGTTGTTGTCGTGGTGGTTGATTCTGTCGTCGGAGTTATAGTCGCCGATCTAGAATTTGGCATCATCTTTTGAAAAAGCTTGTGTTGCTGGTGAAAGGATCTGAAGTTTAATGAGAGAAGGAAGATGAAGAAAAAAGTTTTGTTTATATAACGTGGTTTTGTAGGTGAGTGTTAACGGTGTTAGAATAAACGGTGGGAACACGTGACAGTGTTTTTGACGCGGGGGATGATGACGGAGTTATTAACGGTGGAGTATTTTGGAGTGAAGAGCGTCATTGACGTGTGCGAGATATTTGACCGAATTGTGAAAACTGTCTCCTTCGAAGAAGTTTCGAAAGAAGCAGCGTGGGACCTATCTAGGTTTCTTTCTTGGTAAGTTACTAAACGCCGTCGTTTTCAGGTAAGTATGTTTTATTTGGAGTATAAAATTTTTTTGTTTCTTTGTAAAGATATTTGATTTAGAAGGTAAAAGATCCATTTGACCATAAAAAAGAAAAGAAAAAGAAGGTAAAAGATCTGTTTGTCTTTTGATGTGGAATATATAAATATGAATCTTTGAATATTGGAAATGATGTAAATGTGTTCATGTATAAATCTTGATTATCAACATATGTTGACATTTTTTGAGTTTATAAAATATTATAAATTTAGGGACTAAATGCTTGTTGGTTAACTTTTTCTTAGTCAACTAATTACTTCTTGTTGGTTAACCAAAACATGACTTTGTGAGTTATATATGTGGAGTCAAATATTGGTTGGAATAAGGTAGATTCGTCTCTTATGCTCATCGTTTGGACACAAAGAAAGGCGTACTGGTTTGGGTTTCTTTTAGAGATTGTTCATTTTGGGCTTTTTGCTCTGAGACAGTTTGGACATTGAAATAGCTATGAAGGATTAAACAATATTTTTGGGAACCATTAACTACTCTTCTGTGATTTTCATAACTGATTTCAAACTTTCCTTCAATAGAATGAGCCAATATAAACTTTCTACAGCAAAGCTTCGTAGCTGATTGTGTGATTTCAGCAAAATTTATATGAGAATTTGCAGTGATGAGGAGTGGGACAATTATACAGTTTTTTTTTAGCTACTAGCACGCTTAAAATGTTCACGAATAAACCTCTCAGCGTGAGATGGATACTTATCTCGGACATAAGCTCGAAGACATTTCTGGTAGGAGAAATCTATCCATCCACCATCCGTTCTCACAACAAAGAGGCACCTCGAGTGCCTGAATTGAGGATGCCGATCAACCTGTCATTAACAAGTAGCCACTCATAAGCATTCCAAGCAACAAAAAAAAAGTAAATGAAAAGTTATGAATATAACCATTTATTTCAATCACATTTTGAGATACAATAACTCATCTATCTATCATGGTGGTTCGTGAATATGTACAATACCTCCAGATAATTTCTATATGAGTAGAGCTTAAAGTTGAATTTACGTACCATTATAAAATCAAGACCGCAACCAATTTTATCTTTGGAGTAGGGGTGATAAGCAAGAAGCTTTTCCATGACAATTTTCTCATCCTCAAATTCTAAGCGTTCTCCATCCAAATACCTGCTTATCAAGAAGAAAAACAGTTTACTCGGACTGCAAAAACAATCTACACAAAAGGGCAACTATGCACTCAATCTAGCTTCAAACATCAATAGTCTACTACAAAACAGTTCCACTCTGGCTATTGTTCCAGATTAGACTGAAGATAAAAGAGCATCTATCACTAATTCACAATAGGGAGAACAATTGTTCTGCATTGACTACAATAATTAGATCAAACTCCAAGCATGTATAGCTAGATTTCTCAATAATAAGGGCAATTGGAAAAACTTCTCTAGCAAGAATTTTTCCTCTCCACAAAGCAGTGGTTGGAACCATTGTAGATTAGACCTCAGGTCATGAATCTACAGATTCAGCAGAAATTGTCACATCAAAGGCCAAATGGTGTCCATATGTTGTTCAAGTAGGTAAAACAACAAGCTACTGGAAGAAGCTATGAGCCTATAACTTCAATACTAATCCAAAATTTATATGAATATGATGGATTCATTCCAAGTACTTCAAGAACAATCAGGGATCAACCACAAACCAAAATTTCAATTGGAATTATAATTCAAAACATAGACACTACTTTTTCCAGATTCAGTGCTATCAAATTGTGCAGCTTAGCTATCCAACAAAACAGACCGTGAAGCTCATTTTCTGTAGAAAAGAAGAAGATACCTATCCGAATGAAGAATTTCTTTAGCGAGAAGAGCAATAGGTTCAATATCACGAAGAATCTCAGCCTCTAGATTCTTCCATTTCCGATAATCAGGATCTTCATAACGCCAGCTATTATCAACAACAGGCGACGTCGTATTCATCGCCGAGCCGGATCCCTCCGCCGTAGAATCATTCTCGTAAAACTGTGGTTTATCAGCAAGAGAACACCACAAACGCCGACGCTGAGATAGAAAACCACCAGCTACGACACCAACTTGATGACGATGGTTGAGAAAACCGTTGCGGAGAAGCGGAAGAGTTCTGAGGAGAAGTAACGAGGTCATCGACCACAATCAAGGAGCAATATAGAGAACAATAACGAGAAATGCCACGATTAAAATCCTTAATCTGTACAAGTCACTCGAAGAAGATGAGTTTGGGAAAATCTCAGAGAATCAGAAATTTGGGAAGAAGATAACGTTTTGTCAGATTACGAAGTTGGAGAATCGAACCCGAGACGTTAAAGAAGCAAACAGAGTTACTAAACCACCTGACTAAAGACTTCTCTTAGCTCTCACACAATAATTTATTTTCATTTTTGTAAAAATTCGTGAACTCAGCTGTGCCGTTAGATTGATCTTTAGATGCTTCTATAAATATCTAAAACAACAATCCAACGGTTGAAAATTCACATTGCGTGTCAGTACTGTACATACTCATCACCGAATCTTTCTCCTCTTTTCTCTCTCCAGCTGGCCGAACCCACCGGTTTTGCCCACTTTCTCTGTAGACCCACAAACGCAACTTGCTAAGTCGGTGGTAAATTACTGAAAAACCCTTAAAAATAGCTGACTTGGCCCTTTTCAATCCACGTGGCTCATCTTACGTGCCTAGATTGGTAATTTCGTTACTATTGTTACAAAATGTCTACTGATGACGTGTTGTGAGGAGATTGGTTGAGTTAACATATGTCAAGATATTTTGAAGATCTAAAATATCTAGCTAACTCGTCCACGTTGGAATTTAAAATATTGCGCTTTTTCTATTACTATCTTTTTGCTTTTCTTTTTTTTCCTGATAAAACAACTGATAATCTTCTCTTTTTCGAAATTGTTTCACTTCTGAAAAAAAAAAAAAAATTGTTGCTCATCATCGTCACCAAACCAAACTTCTCTCTTTCTCCAATCTCCGATTTGAAATTTTTATCGATTTTGAGCTACAAAGGCTTCAATCTCTAACTGAATTTCGAGAAATTAGAGAGTTTAAAATGGGAGAGGAAGTACAAATGAGTGATTACGATGTTTCCGGCGACGGAGATAGGGTTTCTGAATGGGAGATGGGACTACCTAGCGACGAAGATCTAGCATCTCTCTCTTACTCTCTGATTCCGCCAAATTTGGCGATGGCGTTTAGTATCACACCGGAGCGGAGCCGTACGATTCAGGATGTGAATCGTGCATCGGAGACGACGTTCTCGTCGCTGCGTGGTGGATCTTCCGGTCCAAATACCTCGTCGTCGAATAATAACAGCAACGCGGTGGAGGAGGAAGATCGAGTTGGATCTAGCAGTCCTGGATCGGATTCGAAGAAACAGAAGATATCAGACGGTGGTGGCGGTGGCGATGGCGGTGTGGATCCGGATGCGGCGGCGGAGGAAGGAGATTCAGGAACTGAAGATCTATCTGGGAAGACACTAAAACGACCGCGTTTAGTGTGGACACCGCAGCTACACAAGAGATTCGTTGATGTTGTTGCTCACTTAGGGATTAAAAACGCCGTCCCGAAGACGATTATGCAGCTGATGAACGTTGAAGGATTAACTCGAGAGAACGTTGCGTCTCATCTCCAAAAATATAGACTTTACCTCAAAAGAATGCAGGGATTGACTAATGAAGGTCCCTCTGCTTCGGATAAGCTCTTTTCTTCAACACCTGTGCCTCCACAGAGCTTCCAAGACATCGGTGGAGGTGGCGGTAGCAGCGGTAATGTTGGAGTGCCGATACAGGGACCGTATGGAGCGCAGCCGATGATGCAGATGCCAGTTTATGCACATCATATGGGTATGCAAGGATATCATCATCAAAATCATAATCATGATCCTTATCATCAGAATCATCATCATCATCATCATGGAGCTGGTGGAAGTGGTGCGTTTGAGTCAAATCCATATATGATGCAGCAGAATAAGTTTGGATCCATGGCGTCTTATCCTTCTGTTGGTGGTGGTAGCGCGAATGAGAATTGAAATGAATTGAAGGAAGTCTATAGATGGATTCAATGTTGGAAGAGATAGGTGAGCTTGATTTTGCTCGTGGAACTGATGATTATTGTCAAGTTTCTGTCTTTTTAAGTACAGTTATAATTCTTACACGATTTGATCGAAATTTCATCAAGTTTCTGTCTTTACTATAATTGGTATACAATAATAAAGTCTTAAGGCTTTTTAATCACTTGTTTGGTGATATTGACAGAGTTAATATAATCAACTAAGTTGAATTTGATTTTGAGATTCTTGTGTTATGTTGAACTGTTCTTGAGAAGTATCAAAATTGCTTTCATGTGACTTGAGACTTTTAATGTAATTCAGATCATGTTCGATTTTATATGCTGTTTTAAAGATTTTTTACTTGAGAACTGTGTGTTTAGGTAACTTACACTGAATGTTTTTAACTGAGTTATGCTCTAAATTCAAGAGAGGATATGTGTCAGGTGGCTTGATATTGTTTTGTGTGCTTAAAGCCATATATAGTGCTGCACAAGTGTACTCTTTTTGTTTGCTTATAGAAAGATAGTCACCAAAGTGATAGTTTCATTTTATGTTATTTGGTTTTGGTTTCCTCATTGGGAAAGTCTTATGATGCTTTTCGATTTAAGCAAGGTATTATTACCCGTGCAAGCTTCTAGGTAGAATGAGAATTTCTCTGCTTTTAATTGCGACATAGTTAAGTCTATCCATCACAGAATCATTCTCTCTCGTATATTTTTCGTCTTTCTCAGTTAAATTCCATGTCTTCAGGTAGGTAGAGTTATACCTTTCGAAATTATCTGCGTCGTTACTGTCTTGATTATATTTGATTGTTGTTACAGGTTCTTGGCTTCTACTTTTCTACATCGTCACGTCTTCGAAATTTCTAATATTTTGCCACCCCAAAGTTCAAATTGCATCTGTGTAGGAGAGATCATACAAACATATCATGTCCAAGCTAGATCAAGAGAAGACCTCTGACAAATTTCATATACTCATTTTGTATCTTGTAAGAGGTAAGTAAGTCCCTTTGCTTTATTTGTATGTAGACTTCTTAGAGTGATAATCAAGAGAGTGAATTGTTTATTTCTGTGAGAGATTGAGTCAGACACAATCTTTACTTTTATTTACTTTTAAACTTTATAAACCAATCCAATGTTTCAAAAGAGGCCATTTTAATACAATCAAGTATTCCTCATATGATAACCTTACGATTGATTGGAGAGCCACATACCAATGAACGTCCAACAAATGGAAGAAAGTGACATTTTAACAAAAGCAAAAGTCTTTTCAATGTTTCTTGCTGACATAGGTTTTAGCCACTTAGATAATAATCTAAAGACCTTTTCATCTCCAATATAAGATCATACTTTTCATTAATATATGATTGTTTCTCTGCACATCATACATTCGGTGATAACATTATCTTTTGTGTCCCCTTTGATTGTTTTCTTTAATAATAGCGACATTCTTCTAGATCAGAAAGGTACATATATTTCTTAATATCCACACAAGTAATTGTCTGAAGAACCTATTGTCTTCACAGAGTCATCATGAAGTGTAAAAACTCCTCTAGCGAGTTGTGTAAAGAACCTCCACTTCTAACAGAGGCTCTCAGCTCTTCCTTCAAACTGATGGCTCTCTTCCTCATTTCCTCTCCTTCTTCGTCAACCATTAACCTCTTCACTGCTCTCTCGACCGCTCCTCTGTCTAGCTCACCCTCCACTTGAATCCCAATTTTCCAAACACACTCCAAGTATCTAGCGTTCACCCTTTGATCACCCGAAATTGGCCTGCAAATCATGGGAACTCCTTCACTGATGCTTTCTAGCGTCGAGTTCCATCCACAATGGCTCCAAAACCCTCCTACTGCAGGATGAGCAAGTACTTCCTTCTGCGGAGCCCATTTCACAATGTAACCTCGTTCAGAAATCATCTTACTGAACTCCTCAGACAAAGACTCGGTCCATTCAGAACCAGGTATTGACCCTGGTCGGATCACCCACAAGAAGTGTTGGTTGCTCGCGGCCAATCCCGAAGCTGTTTCCATCACCTCATTAATTTCTGTCAAAGCGTAGCTTCCCAAGCTTATGTAGATCACTGAGTTTACCTTTTGTTTGTTCAACCATTCGATACAGCTTTTGTTCTCTTCAAGCAGACTTGTAGAAGCCGAGGCCACCATGTGAAGAGGGCCTATAGGATACACTGGAATTTCTAACTGTTTTTGCAGAAAAGACAGAGATGCACTCTCTAGACAGCTCGCAGTGTTGATTATCACAGAAGAAGCTGTCCGTTTGTCAACTGTATTCCTATACAGCTCCATTGTGCTTTCTAATGATTCAAATTGTAAAAGCGGAAAGTCTTTGTATCTCAGGGGAGGAAGCTCTGTAACTAGCTCGTCCTGTTGTCCTTTGGGTTCTGCGAAAAGGTCAAAAACCGTAGTGTTACAACATTATAGACACCAGGGGAATCCCGAAACAGAGAATCTTAAGAAAACCTTTCGAGGGAGCTATGCCATTGTTTCCATAGACTTTGTTGAATACATACCGGCAAACAAAAGCTGAGGCACTTGTTGTGCTGAAAATGACGCTTGGAAGCTTAAACTCTTTGGCTGCAGCTTCAGCAAAGTACAAGAACTCGTCGTAGATGACACATGAGATCTCATCACTTTGTTGCAGCAGCAACTGACCCAAGCAGTCCTTGAAGCTCACCTGGCACTCTTTGTTGACTTAAGCAGAAAGTTTAGTGCTCCGAGATCCTCAAAAGCAGACTCCGGTAAGCTTTCCGGAATAGTGGCAAACTGAAAATCAGTGAAGTCATCTGAAGGGCTAAAGTAAGTGAACTTGGTCTGAAAAACTGTGATTGAGAAGTGTTTTTGCAAGTTGCATCATTGGAGATATATGTCCTTGAGCTGAAACTGGAACCAACACGACCCTTCTCCTCGCTGGCTTTTCCTCCATTTCCAAAACCTGCAAGAACAACTAAGTAGTAATCCTCTCAGCTCCGGGCTTATAGGTTACTCTGGTCCTCAGCTCCTTTGAATGTCTATGTGATTTATTCAAAGAAGTATCTTTCCTTTATAAAAAATCAGATTCTCACTTGTGGACACTAATTCATCCGTATTATGTTTTGTTGGCTCTCTTTGCCCATATGCTTCACATGTGGTGGATGGTGTATGCGAGTAGTTACATCTCTTTATCTTGTTAGAGAGAGTAGTAATCAAAGACAAAAGAAAAGATGTTTATTGTGATGCAACAATTCTATATTGAGCAAACTGCCAATAGAGATACTCGTGTTTGATTTGTATTGCTTTTTATTTGCATTAAAAAAACACAATTACTTTGTAACTTTTGCAACTATTCAATTATCTCTAATAATATATGAAGTTCAACATCTTTACTTTGTCTTCAAGTACTTGACAAGCTCATTCAATGCGTCGTATGAGGTGCCTCCACTTTTGATAGAGGCTTTAAGCTTCTCTTTTAGAGCAAGGGCTCTCTCATGCATCCCCGCACCTTCGTCATCCACGATCAACCTCTTCACAGCTTTCTCAACTTCTCCTCTATCGACTTTACCTTCCACCTGAAACCCTATTCTCCAAACACTTTCTATATACATTGCGTTCAACTTTTGCTCGCCATGAAAGGGCCTGCAAATCATTGGAACTCCTTCTCCAATGCTCTCGAGTATTGAGTTCCATCCACAGTGGCTCCAGAAGCCTCCCACTGCAGGATGTCCTAGTACTTCTCTCTGTGGTGCCCATTTCACAATGTATCCTCTTTCAGAGACCATCTTATTGAATTCATTTGGCAATGACTCTATACCGTTAATGCCAAGGATGGAACCCGCTCGGATAACCCATAAAAACGGTTGGTTGCTATTACACACTCCCCAAGCCATCTCCAACACTTCCTTGGCTTCCATTAGACCAAGTGTTCCTACGCTTATATATATGACTGACCTCGGTTTCTGCTTGTTCAGCCATTCAATGCAGCTCATGTCCTCTTCAAGTAAACTAGAAGGTGGTGAAGCTGTCATGTGAAGAGGGCCTAATGGATACACTGGAATTCTGAGTTCTTGTTGCAGCCATGACAGAGACGAGCTCTCTAGACAGCTCACCGTGTTGTTGATAACACCGGAAGCTGTTCTTTTGTTGGCTACTTCCCTACAGAGCTCAAAAACTCGATCTAATGGCCCCATTTCTGAAATAGGTAGGTCTTTGTATCGTAATGGATACAAATTTTCCACCACCTTGTCTTGCATTTCAGTATCTGCAAAGTAAAAAAAAAAAAAAAAGCAAGGTTCAGTGAAAGGAGTGGTTTCAAGATTGGTTATTAAACTTGTTTTGGGCACCTTCCATGTCAACCAAGAACTTTTCTGCATTGAGTTTGCGTACAACGTAACGAGAAACTTGATTCGTAGCACTTGTAGTGTTGAAGATGACACTGGGAAGCTTGAACTCTTTAGCTGCAGCACCACAGAAGTACATGAATTCGTCGTAGATGATACAAGCAATATCATTGCCTTGTTGCAGCAACAACTGACTTATACAGTCCTTGAAGCTTGCCTCACTGGTTTTGTTGAGCTTTATCATAAACTCGATTCCTCCGAGTGTCTCGAATTCAGACTCTGGTAAGCTTTCTTTTATGGTGACAAACTGAAAACCAGGGAAGTGTTGAGAAGAAGAGCTTACTTGATTGAAGTGTCCCTCAACAACTGTAATTGAGAAGCCCTTCAAGTTGAGGACTTTCCCAAGTTGCATCATTGGAGTTACATGACCTTGTGCTGGAAGTGGAACTAACACTATCCTTCCCTTGGCTTCCATATCTCTTTCTCTTTCTCTGCTTTCATCTCTCAATGCGGAACATCTCTAAATAACTGATCCAAAATTATGATTTAAATTTCAGTTGCATCGGCAGCTACTTTGTTTAGTAGTAGTAGGAAGAAAGTGACATTAACTCCAATTACAAAAGCGTGTTTCTTGCTGGTTTGTTTTGTCTTGGTGGTTTTAGCCACGTACCTAGAGTAGGTTCTGTCCACGTACCTAAAGTGTGTATTTTTGTTTGTTTTGTATTGGTTCACATAAGAGTTGGTAGTTTTAGACTTTTAGCATTGTTGGGTAGGATTTGTTTTGAGATTTAGATAATAATTAAAATGTCAAGACTCAAGAGGCTCTTCTTGTAATCTCCAAATAGAAAAGATTCCTCAAAAGTGGCTACATGCATGATTCTCTTTCTGCACGTAGCGAATGAAGAAGTATCATAATTAATAGTTGTTCTTAATTTGGTACACTCCAAAAACTATGGAAGGATTAGTTTAGATACAAAATGCTAATCTGGTTGATGGAATTCATATTCGAAATTGCATTTTGATTCTTTGAACATGGTGTTCTGATAACAATTCTTTGAAAGTTAAAACAAAATTCGATATTAGTTCGAAAGATCAGTAGTTTGGGGTTACGTAGGCAGGTGCCAGACCTGTCCCATAAAAATTAAGGGCCCTTAACCATTTTTTTTTTTTGCAAATAATTGTGGTTTTTAATTATAGAAATGTTATTTTTTAAAATTTGGATCTTTTCATATTGTTTTTTTTTTCTAAGAAAATTTGGGATTTTAAGGTATAATTTTTGATTTAATTGGTTATTTTGTAGAAAAAATTGGGATTTTTGTATTAAAAAAAAAAGAAAAAAGATGAAAAAAAATTGGACCCTACGACCATGTGTTCTGGCACTCCTAGCACATGTGCTAAACCCGACCTGTATGTAGGTAGAAACTAATAAAGAAATCTAAACCTAGCGATTTTTTGAACACATGTTTTTAATGATTTTTTTTTTTTTTTTTTTTTGTTTGTTTTAGTAGAGACATCAATCTTCACAGAGTTCTCATGAAGTGTACAAACTCCTCTAACGAGTTGTGTGAAGAACCTCCACTTCTAACAGAGGTCTAAGTTGCTCTTTCAAACTGACCGCTCTCTTCCTCGTCTCCTCTCCTTCTTCCTCCACCATTAGCCTTTTCACAGATCTCTTAACGACATCTTTATCTAGTTCACCCTCCACTTGAATCCCAATTCTCCAAACACACTCCA